AATCTGAGACGTAAAAGAAAGTTTCTTGTTCTTGCCAAATGGAATTAGCTCAAAAATTTAAAAAAAAAAAAAGAACAAGGTAGTATGAAGTAGTGAAAAGACACTCAATTTCAAGGTAGAGAATCTAGGTTTGAGATCTAGCTCTGCTGCTATCTACTTTCAGCAAGTCATTTCTCCCATGGGAGTTTCCTCATCTGCATTTACTTACCCTGTGAACATGCTAGGCTGAATCAATAGAATGTTAGCTTCCTGAGGCCAGCATTTATCATAGCAGCTGGTCCCTAGTCTTTGACTCCTAAGTACTTGGTGATTTATCAGTCTATAAAATGACGGGGGTCAGACTAAAGTGGGGGTCCCAAACCTTTTTGCACATGATGATTTAGTTAAAAAAAATTTCATGAGCTTTCCCTCATAATAATGTTATTAGTTCCTTTTGATATGAGAAAACCCACATCCACAAAAGACAACTCAGAATTCAATAAAGCTTTGAAATGAGTTTGTATTTTATTAAACACAGCATCATTTACATAGGTTTGAAAAGTAGAAACACATATATACATGGGCAGTGTGAGATCCATTGCTTATTCAGTCTATAGAAAGCATGGCTGCCTATAGAATACGCCGTGTCATTCAATTAAACGGCAAAATAGATCACTCACAATAACCCATGCATTTGGAAACATCATACTTGATCTCTAAGGCCCCCTGTTCTGAATGCAATCATCCACACCTAAATTTGGGGCTAGTCCCTATCTGTGATACCCACAATATTCCACCCAATTTCACATGCCAATTATTTATCCTTCAGTTAGGTTGTTTAAAAAAAATTAAACCAAAGAATGAGGGTCCCACAAATTGGGTTATGAGTATTACAAGTGAAAACATTTTATTGCTTTTAGAGTCAGGTCTTTGCCAACAGAAATTTCCCTTATGGGGAAAAGGAAGATCATTCCAGCCCTGCAGGCCCCCCTCTTGAATTCTTCACACCAAGTCAACGCCCTTAGATAGACAGCTGTGAATGTGGCTCTGAACAGCCGAGAGGTTTGGAGTTTCAACAGCTGCGGGGCAATGGTGTTTAGATGCAATTTCAAAAATGTTATTAGTGGCTTTAAGAGGAGCAGGACCATTTGCTAACCCCCAATGACATGGTGACAGATACTTCAACAGCCATTTCTAATGGAAACAAAAAAAAATCCCCTTAATGAACATCTTGAGGCTTTGGCCGGCTGAGCACTCTCTTTGTCTTGTGGCAGGCAATGTGATGGCATTCTCTTCCATTTGGCAGCTCCAAAACACCCAAGGATTCTCCCATCAGTTTCTTAAGTCTGGCTGGCCTCATTAAGAAAGGCATCCCCTTTCCTAATCCTCCAAGCTTCTATTGTCCTTTCTCCCCAAAGTATCTTGTATTTAGCTTGCATAAATTCCCTCCATACTCCTTTATGTAAAGCAGTCTCCCCAGATAGAACATAAGGACCTTGAGGTCAGGAACTGTCATTTTTGTCTTTGTATGTCTAGCTCAGTCTCTGGTAGATTTAATAAATGTTCACTGATTGATTATGAACCTGAGGCCCTAGGAAACAAAAGCATTGGCCCTGTACACAGAGAATATCCCTGACATCAGGAGGAAAAGAATTGGGGAGTTTTCGCTGCTACTCCATGGCCTTAGCTAGCCTAGAGCTCCCACCCAGGCAATCCTCAAGGTCTGCCTGGTCCATCATGCAGTCATGGCAGCCTCTGCTCCAGCAGGAGCTCTCCTCTTAAAGGAGGAAGCAACATGGTGGAGTAAATTAGCAGCACACCAGAAGTTGGGAAACGTGGGTTCGGCCTCTGCCACTTACTAGCTGGGTGGCCGTGGGTAAGACATTTCACTTCTGGCAGGTTCCTTATCGATAAAATGAGGATAAAAATGTTTGCTTGCACTGCTTACTTCACTCAGGGTCTTATAAGCTTTCAAGGGAGACATGAGCTACTAATGTAAAGCAATATTAACAACCCCATTTTACAGATAAGAAGCATGGGGCCCAGAGAAGTAAAACATCTTGTCTAAAGCCTAGGCTAGCAGAGGCAGTAGAAGCCAGGTGTCCTAACTCCTAGTCTAATGCACACTAGCATGTTGAGACTGTCCTCAATTCATTTCAGTAGAAGGATTTTTCTATCACTGTCCTAAATCAATGGATCTCTCTGTATTGGGGGGGGGGGGGGCCACAACCTAAGGAGCTATGGCTGTCAATAGAGCACCCTTTGGTTAGTTATGAATTCCACATCCACCCAGACACACACAGAGGGCTCACCTAGGCTGTCAAAACAGAGAGAATTAGTTCCCCAAATAGGAAACAACCTCAGAATGGTGGGAAATCCCAGATCCTGGAGTTCTCAGGTTAACATTCTTTTCAGAATGAGGGATTGGG